CCTCCGGAGACAGAAATTGAAGTCGCTTCCGCCTCTCGGGCACGTACACCAGTTATTTCAGCGATATAAGGAATTCTTAGGAATTCGCCGTTGGCGATCGAGTGATCTGGATACTTTACCGGCACGGGACACTGTCATGAATTCTCAAACAGTTGCAAGCCCCGTAATTCCTCACGTATCTAAGTCCGCAACGTTGAATCGCAACGTCTCGCGAGTACGGCGCTCGCGAATTTTGTCTCTCGGTCGCGTACAATTTACGATCGCCGCGGCTGTCACGATGTTCTCTTCAATTACGATAAATAAATAATTAAGTAGGACAAGATGTATTTGCAGAAGCGATCTCTGACTGTCTACATTAATTTGGCTTCGAGTAATAATTAGGGATGGGCAAACACTACTTGATTATTTAAACGTGGATGTTCTTAGATGACGCGATCCGAATTACTGCATCGCACTGCACATTAAATATCTATAATTTCCAAAACAAACGGATAAAATATATTAATTTATCTCGATTTACGGGAATAACGTCTATATTCTGGCAGAAATTACGTAAGCCACAGATATAAGCTTGCTGAGTTAGCGATTGCTATCGCGAATACGTACCTTTCTACTTTGCCACACGGATCTACTCCTCTCTCTGAAACGCCGCATATTCAGTAATCTGGCACCGGCCCCTCTCAATCCCTCGAGAAGATCCCAGTCTCTTTAGCCAACCCTCCAGTGAAACCGCTCTCGCTTGGGGTGCTACGTAACATTCGTAAAGGTCACACACGCACATTTCCCTCCCTTCCGGTAATGGGAACTGAAACACACCGACGTGACGATTTACGATCAATACCGTGAACCCCGGCACAAAATTTTCAACACGTAACGCACTCCGTTCCCGTGCGACGCGTAATATTAACGGCATATTAATGGCATCGTGATTTATCTGTCCCTGAATTTGCACCTAATATTTCTAAGCATTAATATGTGTATTTTTTATATCGCATAAAATATTTATACGGAGATCTGCTCTAAACTTGTGGGAGTTGGACGAAACAGCTTAGTTCTAACGTTATTTAGATTCTCAATATTTTTTTCTCGTATATCAAGTCGCGAATCACGACAAGACTTTCTATTAAAGAAATGCAAAAGAGAGTACGACAAGAGTGGGAATGACTTGGTATTTTAAAATCTACGAGACCGCGTGCGGTAAAGGGTCTGGGATGCGTCCGTGTGAAATAGCAATCTAAGCCTTTACGATAAATTTACGTCGCATTTCTGGCAAGGTATGGCAGCTTTGCTTGGGATTTATCCCGTGGGAAATCAGTTAGTTTCGTTCGGCAAAATTCGCAATATTACTGCGGTAAGGCAGGTTTGAAGGCGGCCGAATAATCGAACATCGATTCGTTAAAGTCGATAGCCGATTGTAAATAGGCGAAATTGACGCGCTCGCTTGTCGGAATTAATGTGAATTCGCTCGCCGGGGATTGGTATCCGTTACATTTCAACACGTACTTTATGATCATTGTAATTACCGCCGAAGCAGAGCGATGCGCAATTTGCATTAGGCGATATTCGACGAGTGCTTCGTGAAATGTCGAGCTGAGAAAACGGGAGACTTATTGACAATCTCGCGGCGGGAGAAAAAGCGCGTGGGAAATCTGCAACGTGATACCGTTTGTTCTTCGCATTTTCTACGAAAATGTCAATCCCGCCCTTTTCCGCCCTTCCGTCTGCGATGAGAAATAATCCGATCTCTCACTGTTGGCGCTGACGGGGCGGCCCATTGTACCGCGTACAATACTCTACAATACGCACAATGCCGTTGAACAAGGTGAAAACACGTGGCGCTCCCTTCGATATTTATTTCATTATCTTCTTCTTTAGCCGAGTCAGAGTCAAATTGGTTTTCGTCCAATCTCTCGTCCTCCTTTCACGGGCCGCCTCCTCTCTCTCTCTCTCTCTCTCTCTCTCTCTCGCGTGCGCCCCGCGTAATCAGCTTCGACACGACGTATCTCGAGTCTCGGTCCCGCTTTTCATTCGCGCGGTGCGAACGTCGGATATTCACCGCAGTTTAGAACGCACAAGCGTTCCCCGTGTTCTTTGCGAGCGTACGGTTTCACCCGGCAGCGCACCGGGCGGAGGAAGACGTTCCTTCCCCGCAGCGCGCATTCGAAGGGTATTTTATTAACGGCGAATGAAACAGACAGCGCGGACAAAAGCTGACGTGCTATATTGTTCGGGCGATACATTGGACGGGACAGAACACGCAACGCAAGCCGAGCAATTGCACCGACCTGCATTCCGAATCCGCACGCGAGCGCGCCGAGCTACACAATTGCGGTCTCTCCGCGCGGACTGCGAGTCCCTCGTAGAAACACGTCGCGAGATCCACGTTTTTTTCCCCCCCGTTAAATCTTATCTATTAAATTAAGCTCTAAAGTCTCCGTTGAATTTGCACTTACTCCGCGTAAATAAAATAAGCAAGCGAGAAAGAGTATCGAGCCTGGAGAGTCGCAAGCGGAAGGTCTCGGGTTCAAATCCCGGTCAAGTCCTAGCTCGTTAGTTTCCTCGCCAAAAAGTTATTAGGGTCGCGTTTTACAATTAAGCCAGCGGCACACGATACTATTTATCCTGAATTGTTTGTGAGAGCCAATCAGAATTTAGCCTTAAGTCACCTGATCTAAAACTCTGCATCCTGATTGGCCCTCGCAAGCCAGTAGGAAAAATAGTATCGTGTGCCGTTGGCTTTCGATCAGGTGACTTAAAGCTATAGTCAACGACTATTTTTTTCTACTGGATTGCTTACGAGGGCCAATCAGAATTTGGCCTTAAGTCGCCTGGTCTAAAACACTGCGTCCTGATTGGCTCTCGCGAGCAATCCAGTAGAAAAAGTAGTATCGCGTGCCGTTGGCTTAAATCCTGATTGGCTCTTGCAAGCAATCCAGTAGGAAAAATAATAATAGTTTCGTGTACCGTTGGCCTTTAGTGCTTACCTCCCCGAAGAGGCATCTCCATTTATTATTATAGATAGCCCGCGACCGGGGAGATCTTCGCCGCGTCACGTCGTGAGGAGATTCGCGTGCCCTCTCTATCATATCTATCTATACCCGGGCCAGTCAGTTTCTCGCGGGCGAATCCCCGGTAAAACCTGGCTTATGGAGATTGCGTAACGCACCAGAAACAAGTGTCTAAAAGCTTTCGTTGCATCGTTCCGACAGGCGCCAAGTTTACCAAGTAATCAGAAAGGGGGGGGGGCGAGGGACCCCGCGCCGCACACATTTACGCGAGTTTGAAACTCCACCCTCGCAACCTCAATCTCCTCCTATTATAACGTCTACGACGATGAAACGAAAATATATCTCCGGCGCCAAGTTTTCGGGAGGATGGGGAGGAGGGGGGGAGGCGGAGGGGAGTGCGGGTCGAGTTGAGCCCGCGCGGGGCGCGAGTTATTAGACACGCCCGCGCAATAAAATTATGTTTCTCCCCGTGACGGCCGGGAAGTCACGTCGATTACGTGATACCGCCGGGTCGGGGCTGAGTCTTTTTAATCGGCCCCCTCTATCCATCGATATCGACGAGCCAATAATCGGATAACCGAAAACGAGCCGACTCTTAAAACAATTTTAAATTCCAGCTGGGAGGCGAGTAATTAGTAATTCCTTCCGACCAGTTTCTCTAACCGGCAAGAACTTCGGGGCCACCCCCTAATTGTGAGGAAACGAACGCGGCGGAGGGTTTCGGAGGGAGAGAAAAAAGAGAGGAAGTGGGGGGGGGGGGCGAAAGAGGAAAAGGGTGACATCCGCCGCCGGTGAATGCGAAGGCACGTGTTTCGAGTATCTTCCCCGAGCGCCTGGAATCCTTGATATTAATTAGATGAGCTCGTAACTCTGAAATCGGAGGAGTAAGAAGCCGAACTTCGTTTGGGAGTTCGTTAAAGGAGTTACTCGCGTTCGTATGGCGGCGGATATCCTAACTCGCGTAACGACTCTTAACGCGATGGTCTCCCTGCTTCCTGCCTTCCTCTTCCCGCCACCCCTCCCCCCTCCCCTTCCACCCCCTTCTGCCTCTTCTCGTCCTACGTCCCTGTGACGAACGCAAAGTTCCTAGCGTGAAACGCGTCCCCTCTGCATCTCGTGGATGCTCACAATTTGTTGCATGCGACACCCGACGCGTGTCGCGGAGTTAGACACGCGAGTCTTTTCCTAGCTGCCTCCTCTCCCTCCCACTCCCTTTCTCCCTGTCTTTAGAGCGCGGGTTCCAACCCTCTGGAAAATCTCTTCGTGCCGCGAAACCAATCATTCTCACCATTCTCGCGGACCTCTGTTAATAACATCCCGATCCTCCCTCGCCTTCTCCGCCTTTCTCTCTGTTGTTAGAAAATTGCTGCCCGACGCGGGAGAATAAAAAATACTCTCTAGCTTATCCCTAGTCAGTTCGTTCCGCGAGATAATTAACGGAACGACGATGGAGCCGTACAATCGAGGACATGGCATTGAATAGCCGTTTGTTTCAGATACAATATCCGCTGCGCGGGCGGACGGGCGGTGTGCGCGGTTTACTCCATTTTATTATTTTATACGCGTGCATTATGCTTAAAGTCAAAAGGAGATGGCTATTACCGTGGAAACTTTTATCATACGAAAATTTTTATTCCACTCGGCTGAACTTTCAGCCGAGATAAAAGGAGCGTCTCGCGGCGCGTACGCTCGCGTAAGATAAAAACCCACGCCTAGCGAGATAGGACCAGAATGATCGCGGGCTTTCACTTTATTTTATTTTCCTATTGGAAATAATCTTATCAGGAATTAATAGCCTATCGATTGGAGCACCGTGAGACGGTGCCGCACCAAGTTACGTAATAGCTCACAAGCTATTTACTGTTACACAGTTTCTTTTTCATCTATGTCATGGTTGTGCGGTCAAGCCGTCGCTACAAATGCTTCCAAGTGTTTCTCTTCTATCTTTTTCTGAAAGAAAGGAGAAGAAGAATACTTGGAAACATTTGAAGCGACAGCTTGACCGCAGCCTATACATATAATTACAAGGTGAAACGTTGCGCATATGACCAATTTTGGGGGCAAATTGATGATTGCTTCTCGCTGCATTCGACCGCGATGATTCGCAGTTTGAAGGTTTGGGGCAAACTTCTGATTAGTGACGAGTGCGCAGCCACGGGGATATTACATCTGGTGTTCTTACATCGTGCATATGATAGTCCAGATCCATTGAGATCTCCTTAAGTATACTCTTAAGGTAGTTAGGTCAAAAATGATGAAGTTACAGATTTTCTTCAAACTTGCAGCAAAAATAATTTAGATATCAATATGCATGTTTGTAAAATTTGGATTTGATTTTACCGTACAGTTTCCGAGATATAATCACTTAAAATTTACTATTTTTAACATTTCGCTTACCGCCATTGGCTGCTGAGATAGAAAACCTGACACTTGGACATGTCAGTAACAAAAAAATAGATAATAAGGATTGAAACCAAAAATCGAGCAAAAGTAGTTGAATATTTAAAGAAGTGCATGTTTAAATTTCAACGACGCTGACCGTCCGGCATCAGAATATGATAAATCAAAAAAAATTTGGCTCGGTTAATTTCTTCGTGCACGGTAATGCTTTGCGGATGTGACAACGTAGATTTATACCGTTCTCTCGGTTTGTTGGTTTTAAGTGTTTTTTGCGTTTTTGCTTCTGCTCTAACACTTTCATTTTTATAAAACGCCCTTTATATCATAACTGATTTTCCATTATGATAATTAAAATATCTTTTCACAATTTATCGCATTCACGATGAAATGTGATCTGCCCACGATCAACGCTCTGCTAACACTACGAAATTCAGAATACTATTTCATTTTCTGCAACTCTTTTTTTATTTTCTCGGTTTTTAATATTTTAAGAGGAGCAACATAGCGTTTAAAAATCTGTTCTTGAATTGAGTATAAAAGAATTCAAATTGTCTATCGAACTTTATTAATCAAGTCTCATTTTGACTAGTATAGTTGGGAAACAACTACCTTGATGTGTTTTTAACCAATCACAGAGCCGTATTAACCACTTAAGGCAACAATTAAGGTGATTTTGAAATAAGACTCGACTATGAATACCAGTCTAACAACTAGGGCTGACGATCATGTCCGGATAAATAAATATCCGGGTATCCGAAATAGAGATAGATCCGAGATAAAATATTCGATTTAAGTGAAAATCCGGGTATCCGGATCTTGTTCGAAGTTAAATGCAGTGCTTAAAAATAAACGTGTTTTGGATAAATAACTTTTGAATAAATAACTTATTAATTCAAAACTCCAAAACACGTTTATTTTTAAGCACTGCATTTAACTTCGAACAAGATCCGGATCCGAACAAGATCCGGATATCCGGATTTTCACTTAAATCGAATATTTTATCTCGGATCTATCTCTATCTCGGATATCCGGATACCCAGATAAACGGATAATCGTCTACTAATAACTGATAGAAAAGGAATTGCAATAATTTCGTACGGAGATGATCGCGGGCGGATCAGACACGTGGTGCCATCTCCGCGCTGCTTGGCGAAATAGCTCGCGTCGCGACGTTGAGACTTTCTATCAATCGCCGCAACGGTTTTCTAACGAAATACAAATGTCCAACGTATCCGGCTTTGAAAATGCAATCGTACCGGCGCGACGCATTCTGAAAATATCGCGATCTCGCGCCTCGTAACCCAGTGAGAGTCCCCGCCGCGCGTTCGCGCCCGGCGAGGAGCTTCCGCGGTCCGCCGCCCAGATGGCAGCACCGGCCGCGGCGCAGCACAATATGGCCGCCCTGGTGTTGGCATCGCCATGGCAATTCTCTTGGCAGATTCCTAACCGTCGCCTTTTTTATACATTTTACACGTGATTTTTCTAGTATCAGCGCCTAGAACGTAGAATTTAGTGTGTGCGCGCGTGTGCTATGATGTAAATGCGGCGCGCGGGGCGCCCGAGTGATCGTCGTGAACGCGTGGAACGCGGTGAGTGTCTCCTTCCGTATTCTCGGCCGCGCCGCGAGAAGCGGACTCGCCGAGAGCGACGTTCCGCGTCGTCTCGGCGGTCCCCTCGCTCGACGAGGCTCGTGCGACGAGTGACGAGTGACGGGACGTCGCGGGGATCGATCCTCGCCGTCGGCGAGCACGTGACGCCGTGCGACGAGCGGCGATCGCGTCGTCGCGGCCGCGGAGCGTGGTGCGCGCTCGGCCCCGAGAGATCTGTCACTCGGCCTGTAATCTCCTCTCCTGTCGCGGTTTCTCTACTCGAGCGAGTACACGCGAGCACCGGCCTCTCCTCGCCGGCACCCGACTCGCCGAGCCGCGAGGATCCCGTTCCTCTCCGACGTCGCGCCGGTAAACAGCCCCCCGATTGTTTACCGATCCCCGCGAGCGTCATGTGTCATCCCCCCGATGACACTTGCGTGCGCAGTCATTGACGCGTTCGCACGCGGGTTCCTTTCGAGAGGACCGGGCCGGTGTCCCGCCGACTACTCATGCCTGCATTGCCGCCCCGCGTAAAAGTGCAATTATCAGATTTACGGAGCGAAAGTGTAATTGCTCAATTTGCCTGGAAAAAATAAATTATCGCGACATGTGTACACGTAAGCGCGCGGTGTAAAATCGCCAGCCGGGGCTGCCGCGCGTAAATCACGGAATTTGGTAGGCAAATTAAATTCCTGTTTATATTTATTCAACTCATAAGTAAGTTATACAAAATCGATACGGCAGAAAGGGCCGAAATGCGCCGACTGATTCCATTTGTATCGGGAATAATGAAACGCGTATGTATTTATATAAACTATATTCGGGCGCCTCTCGCCGGCGCCGCGGCGAATAAACGAACGTCGCCATGGCAACCCGGCTCTCGTCCACGAGCGTATCGCGCGTGTTGTGACAGCCGGGCGCCGGAAGTGTGGGACGAGCGCGAGATCGAATATCGCACGATTGCTCCTTGGTCCGCACGTTTTTTCCTCTCCCCTTTCCCTCCGCCCCTCGTTGACGCTCCGGCAAAAACGTTTCTCCGCGCGCGCGCGCGCGTCGTCCACCGTCGTCCCCGAAATCGTCGCCCGGACCTTTCACGCGGTGCGAAACCGACTGCGACGATTGCCGGTGTTTGCGAACGCGTTAGAAGCGCCGGTTAACAATGGGCGCGTTCCTCGAGGCACTCTCGCGGGAACGTATTGATTTTTCCGCTGAAATTAACGTGTCTCCGCGATGTTTGCTTTCAGGACGGACCTGGCCCCACGAGTTTCCGAGTCCCACGAAAAGCGACACAGGTGCGTACCGACAGTGGCATCCCGCGGAGGGATGTACCCAGTGTCCCAGCAGTAGCGACCGACCGTAGCACGTATGTTTGTTATCCTTACGTTTTGTTCATTTACCTTTCGCATATCATTTCCCGCTGGCCGCGCGCACGTGTGCAGCCGGAAACACGGTCCTTCGATACCTCGCTGTTCGTTGCTTCCGTGATTTTTTTCTCTGTTATACATTTTGATCCCAGCCACGAATTGGAATTGTGAGATTACGTATTCCTAGAATTCAATTTTCGTTCCTTTTTTTATTTTTAGACACACGTAATCTCGCAAGTATTATTTCCAACCAAGTGAAACTGTAGTACATTTTATTGCAGTAATATCACAACACAGATTCATCAAGCCAATCCTCAAAATTTACATTATGATTATTCATAAAACGTTGCGGAATATTGATAACAATTTTATTTGCATACGTGGTCTTGAGTCTCTCTCGCGATGAAAGATATAATGCCGAGAGTATGAATCATGTTTTCTAATTGACCGTGGACGATAACATAATCAATATTTTATGCGCGAGGTCATTCCCGCAGCTATTGAATTTTTTTTCTTTGTTTCATGCACTCTTAATTTGCATGCGTACGTACAGTTATCGATAATTTTTTCGTTGCCCTACTTGTTCATCTCTTGTGACGCGTACATAAACATTTGTTCTATTTCACATCGATTCCTGCCCATCCATTTCATTTCACCGTCACTTTTATTATAAAAATTTTCGTTATAATCGAAGTGAAGAGAAAGAGAAGCAAATTTATTATACAAAAGAATAAAAACATGAAAATATAAATTCACCAGGATCACAGATTATTCTTTTACTCGCATGTGTTTTTATTGCTGTATGTATTTGTATATGCAACAAATGATCTTGCGCTGTGCTTTTAATTATGAGTGTATTTAACTAAAGAAGAAATTCAGTATGTTATACTTTTATTGTAAGACTACATCGCCATTATTAATAGTAAGTATTATAATAGTAATTTCTTTTCGGCAGTTTTACCGACAATTTTTTTGTCAATGGTACATTTGCCAATTTTATTGATGCAGCACGTATTTTTAAATTTGACCCATTCTCGAGCAGTACGATTTATCATCTTTTCGAGTGTGTATGAGAACAATTTTTCTCGCTTTCTTAATGATTATCTTGAGACACCAGTGACATTTTATATGTGTAATAAAGCTGATCTATGGTTTTTCTAACTTTGATTTGGCGTGAACATGTTTATAATCACGAGAATATACATATCGCCATGTGCATAAACAAGAGGAAAAATTTACGCTGATCGAAAGTTATCATTTTCCAGTGACGGAAAATGCAAGCAAACATAATTGAACCGGGGTGATTCCTTTATACAAGTGCTCCAGTTTATTTTGCCGATATATTTTCATTGCGACGGCGGTTATTGTAAAAGCTATTGTTACGCCGCGATGTGTGACGTATATGGAATAATAGAAGCAACGCTGTCATTTACGGGAACCGTCGAAAGCTTATAAATACCAATCTTTAATCTACTAGATTATTTGCCGTTTGTCTAACGGTATTGACATGCAGCAATTTGTATCGACGTTTACTATTACTTATTGCTTTTTCGGCGTAACTAAGTTTTACAGAACAATCAGATCTTGCTTTGCTATTTAATATCCGTACGTATTTTTGTGTTTTCGCAATTTACTCTTGTAATTGTGTAATGTTTTACAAGTTTGTGATAAAATAACAAATCTGTGATTCTATATTACCGACACACATTGTAGCACATGTTTTTTGGTAACTTACGGACGAAGGTAAGTCTTTGTACCGACAGCAGGAGTGCCTGCGTACCGACTGTTCTAAATTTATCCACGACTAGGTTTCTGCATTTACCGACTTACAGTCTGTTCGACCTTTCTGTACGTCGATAATCCTTTTTCCTGGTTGTTATCGATACCACTGGTTTCCATTTGATGAAATGGTGGTGGCTAACTAAAGTTTTCAACAGTTGAGAAGCAGTCGCCACCTTGCGATTGCAGGAAATCTTTATGTCCGTTTATGGATAAATTTATCATTTCGCAGTAATTTATACAAGTATAAAACAGATAAGATGTCTTTAAAAGAAATTAAGAGAAATCCGTTCAAACTGTACACATATTTAGATTTAACTATGAATTAATAAGCACATAGCTCTATTTATTTTATATATAAAATACTCTGAAATCCGTTAAAATCATTTTACTAAACACCTGTAAGAAAAAGAAGCAAAGTATACATA